CCAGCAACTACTAGCAACTACTAGTAAATACCAATGACTACTGATAACTACTAGTAACTACTAGTAACTAGCAGCAACTACTAGTAACTACCAGTAACTACTAGTAAATACCGACAACAACTAGCAACTACTAGTAACTACTAGTAACTACCGATAACTACTAGGAACGATTAGTAACTACCAGTAACAACAACAACAACAAATTTTATTGAAAATTGGAAAATAACTAATTACATTACTTTCCCACCCGCAAATAGCTTATGAACTAATCGAGGCGGGGGGAGCTGAAGACATATTACAAAACAAGAATTATATATAGATGGACTAAATAACAGTGAAGACACTACAATACAGTAAATAGAGTTTAAACTAACATAAAACAAAAAACAAAAAACAAGGCATGTACATAACGATTACGAAGAGAGGTTAACTAAAGTATTAAATAACTTAATAAGACCGGAGACTTCGACATAATCATCTTCTGACCGCAAAAATTTAGTAATAATTCCTTTATTTTTTTTTTAAAGGACGAACGTTTAAGTATTTTAATCGAATACGGAATAGAGTTCCAAATTTGGGCACCGATTCTCGTGAAAAAGGCATACATTTTATCGGTTCTAGAGAACTTAACATAAAACGAGTCGCTAGAGACAGATCTTGTTCTGTAGTTATGAATCTGACTTGTTTTAACGAACTGATTGAGAATACTAACTGGTGCTGTCTGTCTGTTGATATCATACAATAAATAGCTACAATCTCTGAAAAATATGCTAGGCAGGGGAAGGCAATTTGATTTGAGAAAGAAGGGTACGGCGTGTTCCTTAGACTTACTGAAGTAAATGAGACGTAAGGCCCGTTTTTGTAGAGTTACGATCTTTCGTTGAAATGTCAAGGCACAATTTCCCCAACCACAAATACCATAAGTCAAGTAAGGGACAATTAATGAGTTGTAAACTGAAAGTAAAACACGACGCGGGACATAATGTCGAATTTTAGCTATAATTCCTATCGACTTGCTGATTTTGTGACAGACAGATTCGATGTGGTAGAAAGATTTGAATCAATCATTAAGCCAAGGTATTTTAGATAATCTTTCATTTCAAGGTTTGCGTAGGTGTTAGTCACGGAGTCAAAAATTCTAATCCTAGGTATGAAGGGCATATTCTTTTGCCGGGGACGAAAGATTACAAAATTTGATTTTTTTATGTTCAAGGACAGTTTGTTGGCCTTTAGCCATTCGTTGACGTTGCCAAGCTCGCGATTAACAAGTGTTTCGAGTTCCTTTAGGTTGTTATTTGCAAGTATTATACTAGTATCGTCAGCAAATAGATAAAAGGCAAATAACGAAGAGGACTTGTAAATATCATTGATGTACAGTAGGAATAAGAGTGGTCCGAGGACTGAGCCTTGTGGCACGCCGCACAAGGTCGTTTCAGCCTCAGACACAACATTATTAACTTCCGTAGTTTGCTTCCGATCAGTCAGGTATGATCTGAACCAGGAGTTTATTACACCTCTAATACCATAATTTTCAAGTTTAGCTGACAAAATTTCATGGTTAACAGTATCAAAAGCCTTTTTGAGATCGATGAAAACACCGCACGAAAATTTACCGTTGTCCATGTTTTGGAGAATTGTGTTAACAATATCAAGTACAGCATGCTGAGTACTGTGCTTACTGCGAAAACCGTATTGCTGATCATAGAGAATGTTGCAATCTTTGACAAACTTGGTAACTCTGGAGTACATAAGTTTTTCAAAAATCCTGTTATAAATCGAGAGCAGAGAAATAGGTCGGTAGTTTTCGGGCAGCGTGTCATCTTCGTCCTTAAATATCGGGATAATCTTAGCACACTTTAGTTTAGATGGAAAAATCCCTGAGCAAATAGACTGATTAAAAATCGTAGCTAGAGGTACGGATATGACCCTTTTTGCTAATTTCAGCAGCCTAACTGGAGATGAGTAGAGACCATGGGCCTTGTTGTCTTGCAAAACTGAAATTTCTAAATTGATATCTTCCGGAATAATAGGATCAAAGAAGAAAGTGCGATTAAGTGGCGGATCTAAATAATCATAGAATGTATTTATGGTCTGAGGAATTTTAGAAGCCAGTTTGCTCCCAACAGTGGCGAAATATTTGTTAAGAATATTGCTTATTTCCTTCGGGTCACTAGTTGGAACCTCAGACACAACTTTCGCTTAAACCTCGGGTTTAAGCGAATAGAGTTAGTTGAGTTGCGCTTGTTTTTCTTTTTACAGTAACGACTAGTAACTACCGATAACTACTAGTAACTACCAGTAACTACTAATAACTACCACTAACTACCAGTAACTACTAGTAATTACCAATAAATACCACCAACTACCAGTAACTACTAGTAACTACCGATAAGTACTAGTAACTACCGGGAACTACTAATAACTACCAGTAACTACTTGTAACTACCAGCAACTACTAGCAACTACTAGTAAATACCAATAACTACTGATAACTACTAGTAACTACTAGTAACTACCAGCAACTACTAGTAACTACCAGTAACTACTAGTAAATACCGACAACAACTAACAACTACTAGTAACTACTAGTAACTACCGATAACTACTAGGAACTACCATTAACTACTAGTAACTACTAGTAACTACCGACAACTACTAGTAACTACCAGTAACTACTAATAACTACCACTAACTACTAGTAACTACTAGTAAATACAAGTAACTACTAGTAACTACCGACAACTACAAGTAACTACCAGTAACTACTAGTAACTACCAGTAACTACTAATAACTACCAGTAACTACTAGTAAATACCAAGAACTACTATTAACTACTAGTAACTACTAGTAAATACCAACAACTACTAGTAACTACCATTAACTACTAGTAACTACCAGTAACTACTAGTAACTACCATTAACTACTAGTAACTACTAGTAACTACCGATAACTACTAGGAACTACTAGTAACTACCAGTAACTACTAGTAACTACCGATAACTACTAGTAACTACCAGTAACTACTAATAACTACCACTAACTACCAGTAACTACTAGTAATTACCAATAAATACCACCAACTACCAGTAACTACTAGTAACTACCGATAACTACTAGTAACTACCGGGAACTACTAATAACTACCAGTAACTACTAGTAACTACCAGCAACTACTAGCAACTACTAGTAAATACCAATAACTACCGATAACTACTAGTAACTACTAGTAACTACCAGCAACTACTAGCAACTACCAGTAACTACTAGTAAATACCAATAACTACCAGTAACTACTAATAACTACCAGTAACTACTAGTAACTACCGATAACTACTAGTAACTACCAGGAACTACTAATAACTACCAGTAACTACTAATAACTACCACTAACTACTAGTAACTACTAGTAAATACAAGTAACTACTAGTAACTACCGACAACTACTAGTAACTACCAGTAACTACTAATAACTACCAGTAACTACTAGTAACTACCAGTAACTTCTAATAACTACCATTAACTACTAGTAACTACCAGTAACTACTAGTAACTACCATTAACTACTAGTAACTACTAGTAACTACCGACAACTACTAGTAACTACCAGTAACTACTAATAACTACCACTAACTACTAGTAACTACTAGTAAATACAAGTAACTACTAGTAACTACCGACAACTACAAGTAACTACCAGTAACTACTAGTAACTACCAGTAACTACTAATAACTACCAGTAACTACTAGTAAATACCAAGAACTACTATTAACTACTAGTAACTACTAGTAAATACCAACAACTACTAGTAACTACCATTAACTACTAGTAACTACCAGTAACTACTAGTAACTACCATTAACTACTAGTAACTACTAGTAACTACCGACAACTACTAGTAACTACCAGTAACTACTAATAACTACCACTAACTACTAGTAACTACTAGTAAATACAAGTAACTACTAGTAACTACCGACAACTACAAGTAACTACCAGTAACTACTAGTAACTACCAGTAACTACTAATAACTACCATTAACTACTAGTAACTACCAGTAACTACTTGTAACTACCAGTAACTACTAGTAACTACCAGTAACTACTAATAACTACCATTAACTACTAGTAACTACCAGTAACTACTAGTAACTACCATTAACTACTAGTAACTACTAGTAACTACCGACAACTACTAGTAACTACCAGTAACTACTAATAACTACCAGTAACTACTAGTAACTACTAGTAACTACTAATAACTACCAGTAACTACTAATAACTACCAGTAACTACTAGTAACTACTAGTAAATACAAGTAACTACTAGTAACTACCACTAGCTATTGGGTAGAAGACACAATACTACTTACTACACAGAGTGTATATTACCGGTGCACTTGTGGCTTTCCACCATGAAGTATATACCGCTCTTTCTTCCGCCATATTGCATTTTGCGCCTGCAATAAAAAACTGACCTGCGGTAATAAAGTCCATTGTGTAATCAACGGGAAGTGTTCTTTTGTTTTTGCTTTGTCTGGCAATGGGTAAGCTCTTTTTTAAATTTATTTTAAAGCTTTATAAGGTGATATAATGAGCTGTACGTTGTATACAATGTATAAGAGCCAAGACATCTTCCCATATCACCTAACGTAGAAAGAAATAGTTCGCCGTTGTTCAAACGTTGGATAGCGCTATCCACCGGATAAAACTCTATCCAATGGATAACGCAATTGGTTTCCCTAGTACTTATCCGCTGGATACTGATTTATCCGGTGGATAGTACTTACGTATACCAACGTTTGAACAACCGGGGCCTGAAAATTGGTTGCAGAGCCCCGTGTGCGGAGATGGGACAAATTTTTAGTTTACAACAAAAAGTTTTCATTATGAAGTGGACCTAGAGAGCACACGTTATAACGTGCAGTGGTAACAGGTATCTCCTATCTAGCTGCTAATCGGCTCTGCCCCATCTTTTTTTCAACGGTTTTTAAGCTCCTTCTATAAGTCCACAACGTGAAAAACTTTCTCTCGCAGGGAATCTCGTTCTCCTCTCTCAACAAGGGCATCGAGCATATCTTCTTCCTCTATTACAGCCTTCTTGTTTAAAGAAAGCTTTCCACTCTTAGCGACCGATGAGAGACATGAAAAGTATGATGTAACTTGTTGCGCGCTGAGCCGGTCTTTAGAAGAAAATAATTTGACACCATCTGGTCCACGAAGTGACTTCAAATTTGAGGCAACAACGGCAGGGTCGCTCTTATTTCCTGTCTCTTCTCCATCAAGAAACAGTTTAAGGAGGTACTCTTTGACATGTTCTGAAAATCGCCCGGTCTTCTTGTTTTTCTTCAAGGCCCAGCCAGGCTCAGCAGTGGGGTACTCTCTGCACTCTTCTTGGCTCAATCCTTCAAGGTTCTTATTAAATGGAATATATGAAGGGCGTATGTTGGTGCATGCTTTAGCCCATTTACGCTTAATACTGTCATGCGTGGAATCCTTTTGGGTGCAAAAAATGTGCTTGCCAAAGTCCTGGTGGTTTTGCAACGCTGTTGTCGTTTTGAATAACTTGATGCAACCTGGTAAAGGGCAACTGAATTCACAAGGCTCACTTTTGTTTTCCGTCGTTTTGCTGTTTTTGTACAAGAAGCCAGTCGACACACGCGGGGATGTGAACGGCTCAATAACCTCCAATCGGGTACTTCCCTGGCTGGTCCCTCTCTTCATTAGCTTATCGTAACGAACGAAATTTCCTTCTCCAACATTGAAGGCTTTCCACATCCTGATTCCGTCTGCGCAAAACTTGAAGTTTGAAAACATCAGTACTCCGTTCCAGTTGTGATTATGCAGATCCTGTGCGCTAGCGTCCACCTTTACAACTGATGCACGGCAACCTCTAACTCCGGAGTAAGAATCTATTGCTTTCTTCATATCTTTTGCCTTCTCGACATCATTTCCTGCATTGACGTACTGGCGTATATGACTTTTCAAAGGAGAAATATGGCGATCGCATATATCTTTGCCACTGTTTGATTCACTGAAGTCGTATCGGCTTGTCGTTACACCTGTACGTTGACTAATACCAGGGATACTTAGCAATAAAGGAGCACAGTGATAACATCCAGCGTTATCACTACGTGCAAACGCCTCGACAATCTCAGGTGACTTCCTCTTTATTTCCATAAGCGTGTTCTCATAAATAGATGCAACAGCAAACCATTTCTGGCTGCAGTGATCCAGCAGATGAACGTATGTCCTTACCTATACATACGAACATAAGAAATAATGTTACAGTATCGGCTCCATGACGTTAAATAAAGTACAACAGGAAAGCTCACTGAATACCTACTCTTCTGGTAATCCTATCTGTTGTCCACTTGTTGTTTCATCCACTGATTATAACTATGCCACTTATCTTCCTGCACTTCATAGCTAAAGATTTCAAGAGATTATTTTCTCAGTAGAATGTGGACCTACCTCCACTGTCAATACATAATTTATAGTTGCATTTAACGTATTTTGCACAGCAAGTGAATGTGGATAACTCTACTGTTACTCAGGGAATAAGAAGAAAACTCAGCATTTCTTCTAATTAGGACACAAATTCGTCTACTACAATATCTGAAACTGAAAAGTTTTTGGACATGCCCATAGTCAGATGTAGGATATGCCTGTAGAAAATACCTCAAAATCTTCCTTCGGTTTTGTTATCACGGCTGTGACATGCCAAGAGAGGCCTTTCTTTCCAAACCTCTCTCCTTGCGTTTCCCTATACTTCAAAGGAAGGAACTTCATTACCCAATCCATGATAATTAAAGCTTGCTCTGGCGTCATATTGGTGAGGATATCATCCTTTGCTACGTCCTGGTGTACTGCTCTTAAGATGTGGGCCTTCCATCGCTCAATCCTGTCTATAGCTTTACTAATGTCATGCTCTATTCCTCCTTTTCGTCTTGATATCTAAAAATCAAAATAAAAAATGATTTCGTTCTATTATCAAAGCTGTAATTATAATTTCTTGACGTTTTAGGGCGACATCATTTGCTTGTCTTTGCACGGTATATTTTTCCTGATCCTTTGTTTAATGATGTAAACGCAGCACTGTTTCCGAAGTTACACAACTGTAGATTTCAGTCACCTGAGCCACCCATTTCCAATTGCAAAAAAGGTGATTAAGGTATGACAATTAGAAAACTTGCTCTTCATGATCAGTCAAAATTACAATATATATCTTCTCGTGATATCCTGTGAAGAAATTTTTTTACATGTGTAAAATGAAACGATTAACGATAAACTGAACAAGACAAAATCTGTTAGGGGAGAAATCTGTCTTCTTTCTTTGGTTTTGACTGCAAGAAAGTTTAGGTTTTTGGTTTGAAAGAAGAAGACTATAAAACATGGTATCAGTAACCGTTTACCTGAAGTGAAGGTCTCTTTTTCTTTTTTATTTTCGCTCTTCGTCTGATTTTGAATCGTGATTTTGTTTTGATACGTACCTGTAAAATACTGAAGAGGGTTGACCTCCCATGTGAGAGGAAACCGGTTTCCTGACAGTACTGCTGGTATAATTCCACAATCCTTGAAGCAATAACTGTCCTAACCACGTTTGGAATCTCCATCTTCTCCCCATTCGACAATTTTAGCGTTTTTGTTCCGTAGGCAACATCTTGCACGAAATTTGGTCTGCTGATAAAATCTAGAAAATGGTCTACTTTGCTTGAATCCAGTCTTGCGCGTGTAATGGCCTCCATCTGTGGCACTGGTTTACCCACCCCCACCTTAGCGGCATGCCTTCTTGCCTCATCTATCGCCCACATGCTTACTCCAGGAATAAGCAGTTGAAGTTGAGCTTTAGAGTAATCGTTTACAAATACTGACAGGATTTGCCTTTTAGTAAACCAACTGTTGGCCTCTTCGTACAATTTAATCAGGCGCGATATTTCGCTAACATCAGTATCTACACTCTTTTGCTTTTCTTTTTTCTCCATATGTTTCATCAACTCTGAAAGTAATTCTATGGCTTGCCCTGGAGCAAGGCAATCCAGAGCCACTTCAACGATCTCTTTCCCCTTCTGTCTGTAATATCTCTGTGTGCTTGGTGCAGCTTCCTTCCAAGGTATAGTCAACTGACGAACCACTGGATCTACCCTACCACGAGCAGAAGGAGCTGAGCGGATAAACTCATTCACCGCTTTCAGTCCCGATTTCACACATGGAGTAGAACACCATTCATATGAAATGTCTTCTTCTGGCAATGACTCATCTAGAGGACTACCAATGCTCACTTCATGTTCATTACATTCAGCCTAGAAAAATAAAGAGCAATGTAGATGATTAATATCTGTGAACTAATCTCTCGTTTATGATAAGTGTTAAATCAATGCATGAGTAAAAATAAACATACCGGACACTCATCCACAAGACGATTTTCTCTAACGTTTATGAAGTCGCCTAATTCAGTGGTAGGGTCTGAATCCAAAGGAGCCGCCTGTTCCTAAAGACGTAATTAAATGATAATAAGAATTAATGTTTATTTTTGATTCAGTCATTTACTTACTGCTAGAGGAACTTCGAAAGAAACTCCACCTGAAAATAGAAGAAAAAGAATAGAAGGAAAAGAAAATGGTGAAAAAAATAAATGATTTCAAGAGAGGTATTCGAAAATTAATTAAAATAAGGAAAATATTATTCATGGTAGATGACTGTAAATGTGCGTGGAGAATTTTAAACCGTAATTTAGTTTTTATAAAAGGATCAGCAATAGCCCAATACCGTTCAACGGATTGTAGGGGAAGCGTCCCTGAAAGGAAACTCACCACGTGGTTTTTCAGATCGCAATAAGGAGGATTCTCAACATCGCCTGTGTGTTCGGATGTCACCTGGTAAATGTAAAATATTACAAATAGGTACTTATTGAATGACGTTCAAACGAAGGAAAGGAAGTAAGGAATAAACTAACGAACGAACATACTGGAGAATGAATGAATGAAAAAAATATGTGATTGAGCGATCAAGTGGGTGAGTGAAGAATTGAAGAAATGAAAGAACGAGTGGATTGATGAGAGGGATGCTAGGCAGAACTCTGAGCGATATAAATAATATCATAATGCATCAGTCAATAACAGCTGCGCCCAGCGCCCCCCCCCCCGGGCTCACCCTCGGGCATTGGCATTTTTTTTGCCTTGGATCGCAAATTCCCGGGGGTGGGGACTCTTGAGCTGTCAAATCCCCCGGGGTGGGGACGAGAAAAGAGGGCAAATGCCCCGTCCTCCGTCAACACTGCAACATTTTTCATTGATTGCACAGTCGAATAGTGCCGTTTTAAACATTTTAATGAGCGATTTTTTGTTTCAAGTAACGTCTTCCTTTGTAATAGTGATTGGATTCTAATTAAGACTTCACGCCGCGACGATATGTACCAGTTTATGGTTTTAGTATTGATATAAAATTATTGACAGAATTAATAGTGCTCTGTAAAGTTATATGTTGTGAATATGTTATAAATATGAAAGGATGTTCTTCAAATAATATCAACAGAAATTTGATTCACTTACCAAAAAACGTTAATTCACGTCGATAGCTCCCGAGTTGCGCTATGTAATTCTGGCTTGACAAGCATGCATAAAATCGAGAACATGCCTTTACAACCCCCTGTCCTTGATAGATGAGCTAATCTGCTTTTTTTTTCAGTAATATCCTCTATGTAGTTATACCATAAAATTGCATAAATAAGCCCTTCCATGTATAAGCCCCTCCAAATATAAGCCCCCCAAACCGGTAACGCAAAACACCCTCCGTTAAATCCCCCCTCCGAATATAAGCCCCCTGGAGACTTATACTTGGAAAAGTGCCCTCAAATACAAAGTAAAACAAAGCCAAAACGGTAAATTTCCTTCCGACTATAGGGCTAGCCCAATCGATTTTGAAAAGCAAATTTCCTTCCGTAGATAAATCCCTCCGAATAGAAGCCTCTCCAAAAATAAGCCCCTCAAAAAAGGGCCTTTGAAAAATATAAGCCCCGGGAATGTTTAGGGTATTCTGATAGGAAACCGCGCGCGTGTCAAAACCTCGGGAATAGCCCCGGGGTTGGCAAACAAATGCCCGGCACCCGGGAGGCGCAAAATTTGCAAATGCCCCACCGCCGGGACTGATGAGGCGGGCAAATGCCCCGCAGTAGCCCGTGGGGGGAGGAGGGGGGGCAGCTGGAATTAACTGATGCATAATGCAATACTTTCTTAGGCTCTAACTGCCTGATTTTCTTGTAAAAAGTAAGGGTAAGACACCATCGGATCGAACTGCTATAGTAACCACAGCGACTTTGTTACTTGTTTCCTCATAATTCATACTTTGCTGCTAAATTTGCAAATAAACAAAAAAATCGTTTGACCAACGGAAACACTTTTGAGGTTAATATATACTCACCTGAAATATTTGTGTTTCTCTTTTCCCTCTTTCTTCTAAATGTAATTTTCTGCACCTGAGGCATATACCTAGAATTTAAAGAACAGAATGAGTAAGTATTGGAAAAGAAAAGAAAGAAAGAAGAAAGAGGGAAACTGAGTAAACCACACAGTTCACAAATACCTGATCCAATGGGCACGAGAACTCCCCAGTAAATTTGAATCTCTTTTGAAATGTCCAACGAAATCCCTCTTTCAGGCTTAGCCCTGCTTCGGCCATGAAGTGGATGATGACATTTTGTAACTGGTCTACTTGAATTCCAGATAGTACCAAAAATATCTCTGTGCAGGGGACAGATTGTGAGCGTTTCACCATCTTCATCAAATAACCCAGCTCTCAAAAGTATCAGTTGCCATTCACCTTTGATGTTTGCTTGAGATGTTTTCAACCGTTGAAGGTGACTGGTTATATCTCTCCTGCAACTACGGAGTGGCACGTACTCTTTGATGTTACGATAGTGCTTCGAATTGCCACATGGTATCGACGAGTGTTTCGAAAACGAGCAAGTTAGACTTGCAGCCATAGAAGAAAATGTTAAGCCCGGATACGACCCTGTCTTCTACAATATAGGTTTAACAACGTCGTGTATGAATTCAAATGTTTTTACAGCTGTACTGAACGTTCGCGCTTTCCCGCCAAAGCAATCTAGATAGAGGAAAATCGCAGACTGCTTGGTTCGCGGGCTCAAAACAAAGATGGTTGTAAACAAATGCACACATGTCTGAAAGACGTAGTCTCTATCGCATCATAAGACGCATGAAGACGTTCGAAAAAGATGTTTTCCATCCTTCAAGCAAAAGAAATAGCTTTTTGGAAATGAAAGTTACTTTCGATCGTTTTATGAGCGGGAAAATATTCACGAGACAGGTTATGGCTGTTCTCCAGCTACACGTCGAAGCCGAAGTAACATCATTTCGTCGAAAAAAGAAGATTTACTGAGATCACAGCGGGAAAATTATTCCCTTCAGCCTTTCTCAGTCACAGAGGTATGTTTTTGAAGTGTCATGTTGTGTTTTTGAACGATCAATTATGTATCCTGTTCCGTATATTTTTTGGCTATTTTTCATAAAACGATTGTGTTGGCTCATAGTTTGTCATAGTTCCGAGGCTGACGTGTCCATAATTTCACAATACCCAGATTTTTGAAAGCGTACAACAAAAATCCAACTTATTCTCTTGACATAACCCATATCAGATTTATTGTAAGGTTTGCGAGAAATTTTAGAAGTAATTTTAAAAATGCAATATTTTTCTAGCTTCTGGAAAAGCGTTCAACTGCCCTTCGGTTAGTACACGGTCACGAAAAGTAAAAAGTCTCAATGTTTCTGGTTTATACGTCTAGTCGAAGTTTAATCATTCAGTTCGACCGCCGGCTACTCATTTTTCACTCACATCGTAAATTATTGGTGATCAAGGCAACTAAACTTCAGGAAATTTCGACCTTCCATAACAGTAAAAATGGTCTCCCGAGGGGACCCCCCCTCGTATACACAAAGGAAAGGAGCTTGGACCCCAATCATACCATATTTAAAAATAGTGCACCCAAGTATACTTACTCACAGAATATAAGCCAATTCTGTGATCTAGCCTGTAGCACCTTCTGCATGGTTTTGCATGGTTTTCTCGTGGACAGCCTCTTAAAACGCTCAAGCAACTTGACGTTGGGGTCCTCCGTGTCCTAGTAGTAATATAGGTTATCACCAAGATAAAGGACCGCATTTGTAACCTCACGATAGGACTTCTATTAAAGCTTTCAAAGCGGATTTCTTTCCCTCGGCGTTAAAGCAAGAGGTGGTGTCGCATTGCTCGAGAGGTATCACGGCCTAGAGATGCACAGATGGCATAAACACTTATAAGCTGGAAGTGCTTTCCAATACCCCAACTTATCCAGACATTTGCAAAGAGCCCAATCATTATTAAAACAATGTCTGAGTTCACTGTTCGATTAAGAACCTGACTGTGTCCTTATTAAGAGCGTGTAGAACATACACAGCAATTCTTGTGTCGGTTAGCTTCCTCGTGGTCGCATCTTCGAATCCTGAGGACCCGCTGCTCGAGAAAACATTTTCTCCTGAAGAAATATTCACCTCCTTATTTTCTGGAGACTAAAAATCTCTTACTTTTTTAGTCAGAAGAGAAAATAGCTCTTCCTAGTTGGTAGTATTTTCCAGAAACATTTTCCACTTTGATGAAAGATTGGTTTCACTTGTCACCATTCGTCTCTGACCTGCGCCTCTCGTTTCTCTGGTTGATTCTTTCAAACATTTTTCCTTGTACGGTATCCCAAACAAACAGTTTTCAACATCGAAAATAGCGTGATGAGTAATAAAGATACTCGGACGATCTTTTTTTCTGTATATTTCTTTATTTTCAATCGCGAAACAAAGCACGAAAAGCTTCGCCTGACTTTCAGCCTCGCTCTCATGCTGATGTGTGTAAGGAAAAAAAATTAAATCACATCTCACGTCCCCCTCCCCCCCGTCAGATTGTTGTTTCACCCCTTCTAAATTTTTTCCTTGCACCCAAAAGAACCTTCCTTCCAAATTTGGCTCCTTCTTCCACTCCGCAACGATTTCGCCAAAAAATTCACCATAAACCATTACACTTAATAACCTGAGGGGAGGCCAAAAACGTTCTGTTGTTGAAGGAGGCAAAGGGTTAAAACCAAAGAAAAAATACCGATTCCTAAACGTTTTCTTTGCTACCTTCTTCTCAACCTGCAGTTTGTAGCAGAGTGTCAGAGTGCAGAGTTTTAGCTCAACTGGATAAGCGCTGGTCTGCTGAGCGCGAGGCCGCTGTTTTAAACCTCTGCCGGACCAACACTCAGAGTCTATAAATAACTGATGACAAAGTGCTGCCCTTGTAACAACATCTGCAAACGGTTAGACTTTCTAGTCTTCGCGGATAAGGAAGATAAATCGTATACCCCGTCTCACAAGCCTTGTTGCTGACGAGCAGCCTCGCGAAGACGCGAGGCTACGAGGCGGCAGCCTCATAAGCAGTGCGCGAGAGTTCTACGAACAGAATGAATCTCGAAGCGATGTAACAAGGTAGTCTAAGGTAACTTTTATGACGTAATGGACAACAATGCATTGTTTTCAAGCAAACACGTGATTCGGAACAAATAATCCACGAGCCGTGTGCGTATTTGTGAGTCAGGTGCTCATCCCGTCTTCAACCAATCGTTGAGTGGATTCATTTCTAAAATACGCGTATAGCTGTCGCACTTACCCGCTGGAAATATTTATTGTTGCTGTAACTTATGACATACCACAAATTAAACTGCGCGCGTACAGGTAAAATCTTTGCTTGCTGGCACCTGGCGATGGCTACAACTAGTACATGTAATAAATTCTGCAGGACGTCTCTCAGACGTACGCGCAGTCATACCTGACATACTGCCGCCGTTGTACAAGGTACTATGGGTGGCGGGGGGGGGCTAGGGTTCATGGAACCCCTCCCTCTCTTGTGTTGGCATCAATCACGCCTGCCCTTTGCTCTTTCAGTTTTTTTTTTTTGCATTTCGTAAAGGCTGCCAGCTCTAGGGTAAATCCGAGTGAGCAGGAAAAATGCTTCATAACTTTAACTGGTTTGCACTTTTTGTTTCCAGATGTTGATATAATTCAAGAAGGATCATTAAAGCTCTAATTCTATTTTCTTCTTTTGTTTATTTGTAGCTTTTTTGTACTAGTTGTTATTAACAGTTTCACGGGTCAAGTAAGTTGACGGTTGGCGGTTAAATAATTATTAAAAGATAAGAACGTTGTCCACCAAAATAACGGATTCTCCACCAAAATATGTAGGGGTGTGTTCGAGCAACTCGCTCGCTACACGATGAGGAACCGGGAATCTGATTTACATCTTAATGTCTTTATTCTTCTTCGACTTCTGCTAACAATCTTAATCTTCTAACTCTTTCACTTACTCACCAACTTTCTTCTTCTAACTTGTAGTCCTTATTTCGAGCAGAGTAGCGGTTTTTTTGCCAAAGCTGGACATGTTTGGGTTAACTGACCGTGGGAATAAAATTACGGTGAAATCGGTGTGGGTAATGTTTTGGTATGACAGAAACTACATGGTTGTGTTCGGCAAGAGTTCACAAACCACTGAAAAACTAAAACTCTGGTTAACAAACCCAAACCGGAACTTCGACAAGACTAGTAAACCAAGGTCAGCTCTAACATAACAAACTCGACCACTTATGAAAAACTAACATCTGACAACGACAAGCGAAGTATATTCCTAAAATGGCGATAAGTAAATTCGCGAGCTAATTAAGCATAAATTCAAGTACAAGAAAAAGCAAAAGATCAAAGCGGGAAAATACATACGTGGTCAAAAATCAAGACTAACCTTGACCCACTTGATGAAACAAAACTAAACTTAAAAGATTAACTCCGTCTTAAAAATAACTATACTTCACAACACATCTCCCCCCTTAGAAAATGCATCGTCCTCGATGCAAGACCAGAATTTTCTAAGCTATAACGCCTTCATAGATAAATATAGCATCAAAACCAACTATCGCGAATATCACAAAGTGATGTCTACTTTAGCACATTACAAGAAAGTACACTCTACAGCCTATCATGACCCAGCCACAAAGGATCCAGTTGATACCCTTCTGTCTCACACCAAAGTTTCCAAGAAAATTTATGAATGTCTAATAAAAGAAAAAGCTTCTATACCATCAAGGATTCAGGGAAAGTGGTTGGAAGAGAGAGACATACATTGTAATCTTAGTATAATAGTAAACTGGGAAAATACGTACTGCCTATCATCTCTGTGTACAAGAGAGTCAAAGCTTAGAGCGTTCCAATCTAAATTCCTTCACAGAAAAAAATAGCCACAAATGACTTTCTGTACAAAATAGGTATCAAACAAACAGATTGCTGCTCCTTTTGCGAGGAACAAAAAGAAACCCTCGTCCATCTATTCTGGACTTGCAAATACACTCAGAAATTCTGGAAGAGCAAGAGCAAGAGCTTGTCTCTCTGTTTCGGTCTTAGTGACGACGTAAAAGACCTTCTCTTTCATCACCTACTCCTTATAGCTAGACATTGCATAGACACCTGCAGACTTGGGAACAAGCTTCCTAAGCTGCAGGTATATATACACACTGTAATTTTCAGGGAGTTATAATAACTCCTCTAGTGGGGCTAATTTAACTCCTTACAGTGGAGTTATTTTTCGTGGAGTTATTTCAACTCCAAAAAGGAGCTTAAAGAACTCTTTTTCAGGAGTAAAAGTGACCCCAGATATTGAGGAGTTAAAATAACCCCCAAAAAGGAGTTATCCTGTACCTAAAATTTTTACTCCATTTTTGGAGTTATAATAACTCCCTAAAAATTACGGTGTATATTATATATGTAAATTAATTTTATGAAATGTCATTTTTTATCATAGATATTTTTCATTAAAGAAAACCAGGGAGGAGCAGCGTGGAAGTCAACAGAAGTAAGTTTATTATTTATTTTATTTCTTGTTTTCTTTTCACTCGCGTTAGAAAGGACTTCCGTTTTT